AAAATCCTCAGAAAATGAACAAAATGGTAGATTTCATGATAACCTCAAGCAAATTAGGTATTTATTAGGCAAGGTCCTTCCAGAAATAGCATCAGGAGTTGGCATCTGTAAGCTTTACAGAATAGTACAAAAAATGGATTGTGAATGTACTCAAAAGAACTGCCTCTTAAAAGTTGCTTTTGCTTCGTCTGATGAAAGAAACCTAATACTGAGAAACCCACGCAAACTGATTGGATCCAGAAAACACATCCGTGAGGATCTCAGCCTGTTTGACCGCATTAAGAGATGAGCTGCAGAAGTATAAGTAAATGAGCGCCGCCGAAACAGCAAAAACCCCCGTACTTTAATGTTTTTGAAGTGTAAATGTTCTGAGTAAAACGATCCCCAAACCACTCTGTTGGTAAGGGAAAGTTCTCCACAGAATTAGAGGTGTGCTACACAAATGCTCCCGACCTACTTAATGAAATGGGGGGGCTCAGGACATGTGTGTATATAGAAAAGCCGGATATCACTACCGTCTAAGATACATGGTTAACGTCAGATTGTTTGATAGTGAAATCCAGTTGACCAGTTTTTATCCAGTAGGGTTGATAGACTAAGCCGTAGGTGAGCTGAGGCTATCCTGTACGCGAAAATTGCCTTAATCATACGAGCTGTCGAGACAGTGGTATATGATCTAGGGACATGTAAACTAGTGCGCTACAGGCTGAAATGTATACCGCAAGAAATTGAACTATTTATAGCATACCGCAGTCATGAATGTGTGGTAGATGACTTCCTCCCAAGCAAACTTAAGTCCTGGTGTAATAGAGGTGAATGTCATAAAGTAGGCGGCTTTAGGGCACCGAGTATAAACTGTGGAGACTTAGAGGTAGGGTTATCAAAAACATCATTTGATTAAAAATTGTTAAAAACCACATTTGCACTAGCTTTATTCCAGAACATTAGAGATCACACCAGATATGACTTATGAAGCTCCTCGTCTCTCTTGGAGTTAGTCTTTGCGCACGGTGATGATGTCGGTAAAACGACTTTCCTCCCACCCCTAGAGAGAAGTGGTCGTGATCTTATTTAACTTCGTGTCTGAGATCGCCTGTCAAACAGTTGTACCGGCTCGTCCGAACGTATGAAAGGCAGACATGAATGAAACCAACCCCTCAGCATCGGTTGTAAGCTGGATAATTGACTCAGGGGCATCAGTAGAAGAGACATAGACTCATTCCAAGCGGTTATACGTTCAGACAACTCAACCACCTATACTCTGGACAGTTCTGAAGAAACAAAACGGCCACCCTTGGACAGACCGGTATATTTGACGTTTGCTAAGATAAAAGAAAAAATGTTGGAGTGTTGCTATCAGCCTTGGCACAGGAAGTACAATGAAACGCTGCAGGCCGATAAGAAATAACTGTATAACTACAGTTCGGGAAGCTCGGAGAAAATATGAAATGCAGTTGGCACAATCTGCAATTAAGCGGCCTGAGAGACTATTCTCGTACATAAATTGCAGAACAAGGAAGCAACAACGGATTCCCAACTCAACCAAAGAAGGGAGTAGATCTGAAATGGTGGAGTGATCAGAAAACAGCAGAGGCCATGGCAAACTATTTCGGGGCAGTTTTCACTCATGAGCCTCTTCCAGACGAAGAACTAGACTCAAATACCAAGTCAACAAACCGCCTGCTTGCCGTAAACTTTGATCGAGACGATGTAATTAAGGCCCTGAACACATTAGACACGGAAAAATCAACAGCACCAGATGAAATATACACCGAAATCCTGAAACAAATGGCACAATACATTGCAGCCCCACTGACTGCGATATTCAATATCACCTGGCTAAGGTGAGTTACCTATGGGCTGGAAGGATTCAGTCGTCACTTCAATACATAAAACAAAATCAAGACAACTTTCATCAAACTACAGATCTGTCAGCCTCACTAGTGTCGTAGTTTAAATACTGGAAAGACATTCGTGTAGATCAATAACTTGTTAAACAGAGAACAACATGTTTTCAGAAAAGGTTTAACTTGCAAGGAAGCGATAGACAAAGGCACTAGACAATGGAAAATCAGTGTCTACATAAACTTCCGCAAAGCGTGCGACAATGTACCAACAAAAAGCTGGGAAATCATGGCATTGTTGGACCCCTCCTAAAATGGATTAAGGATTTCATGGTAGGTTGTGGACGAACAGTGAGAGTAAATTCAAATCGCTCCACCCGGAAAACAGTACTTTATGGAGTACCGCAAGGTTCTGTTCTAGGTCCTTTACTGCTATACTGCATGTGAATGAACTTCCAAATACAGCTGAGTCCATAATGCTTCTATACGTTTATAATGTAAAAATCTTGCGAGAAATAACAGGAGACGCATATGTATACACACTTCAGGCAGACTTAAATATTGTGATTGGCTGGTCTAAAGAGTAGCTGATGCCTTTCAAAGCGGCAAAGTGTGTCTACAGGCACTTTAGAGATACAAAGGCACATAGGTACAGCATAGTGGAAGTACTTGTACCCATGGTCCAGTTTCTCAAGGATCTTTAGGTACCAGTGAGTTATGAACCCGCTACCCGAAGAACTATTGTCCGCACTTTTAATTGACCCACTCGAGAAAAGACTATACACTCACAGAAGTACACCTGAAAGGGAATAATATAGGCCGTAGGCCTTCTGTCTTTACTACACAAATCTGAATCTGAGTATGAATCTCTATCCTGGAATCTCTATCCCCTTAATTGACTGTCAGGTCCATAGGAATCGATTCAATAGATTGACTAAAGTATACAGTGGATGATAACGGAGACTTGGAACCATACCATAACATCCAGAAAATGGAGTAAGCATATCACGTAGTTAAATAGATATTGGACACTGAGGTGGCCTTGCACGACCTTGAGCGTATGACTTTTCCGAAGGCTGTTTTCTTCGGAGATTCTCTAACCCAGGTGATAATGGTTTGAGCTTTTTTTCATCTATCCTCCAAAGTAGTAATATTGTGACTTATATTCACATTATCCGTCAAAATTAGCTTAAATATTTATATTGCCAATGTCTTTGAACCGTATCTTTACACCACCCAATCTCCCGATTTTGGGGAAGCCGCTATAGAAATTCTGGGGAAATGGCATCAAAACCCCTAAATCTCCCTCCAAACCTTGGGTAAGGTCATTTGGCTCCAGGGATTTCCCCAAACTTGGGAGATTATTGATAAGTCTGTGGGTTTTAGGTCTATCTAATGAGAGCTTGGAGTTAGGTGACTAAAGTATCGTACTAATGAGCCTGTCAAAGTCGAACACCAGTTAGTAGCTCCTTAGCCTAAATGTTACAGGTATCACATCAAAAGTTCAGATCTGCATGAAGGTCGTTTGGCATTGATCAACGTCAAATATATTTATTGTCACAAATATTACTTTATGAACTGGTCCATTATCGTAAGAACTTCTTTTTCAGCTGCAAAACAGCCCCTAATTGCTTGCTAATCCGCATTACTACCGTAAACTGCTCGGAGCTATGATGTGCCGATTCGACTAAACCCAGTTTTATTTCAATTGTGCTTCCACCGTATATAGGCTGGTCATATATGTCTCCCAAAATAAGAACTTGAATTCCAAACGTCCGCAATCATGTCGTGCATACAATAATTTGTATTTATTTTATATCTCGATTTCAAACAAGCACGTCGTCCAAACTTTAGAAACTTTGTTATACCTTAGTCCTGAATCGACCAGTTTACTTATTTTTACCATTTATATGGTATCAAATACCTTGTATTGGATATGATAGGTTGAAGTTTTAAACCTTAGAATTTTGACTTTCCTCCTAAATTAGTATTTTGCTCCCAATAGATATTAATTGGTTGAATGTATCATAATACACTTAACTAATACCATGTTACCTTCGACGTTTCATATTATATAACACATAGAGTCACAGTAAGTCCTTAAAATACTCGAGTTTACTGTGACATTAGTGATCGTTTACTGTAAATGACGATATAATCGGTCAAAAAGTTTCATGAACTGATATATATACTGAGAAACTATAATTATGTTACTGTAACGTCAGTGTTATTCAGAATAGCAACCGGAAATTGAAGTGTGAGGTTAAAACTCTCAGTTGTTTACTAGTAGAAAAAATAGTGATAATTATCAAGTTAGAATTGTTCTTCCCCCTAAATAGAACAAAATTTCATTGCAGACTAAGAGTGTCTTACGAAGAGATAATCCAATCAAACAGGGGGTAATATTGAGAACCTCACTTGGCCATAGATGCAGCTTTAATACGACAATCAGTTTCGCATATCGTGATGACGCAGTCAAACAATATTTGCCAAAATACTTGTTACTATGGATCGTATTATAGCATCCTGGTTAGTTCTAGTGTGGTACCCGACCGAAGCTGCTACCTTGACGCGGTGATCGGGCTTGCCTATCGTGATGACCCAACCGAGCTATATTGGCTGGAACAACCGTTCCTGTAGGTTCTACCATGTCAGGCAGGTCGATTGGAGAGCGGTAAGACTAAAAGCAGCAACTCAAGGTCTGAGGGCGAAGCCGTACTGCTGACTGTAGAGAGGTGTGACAGCAGTAAGGTGTTTCCCTCAAACAACCAGCATCTGCAGCGATGCTGCCTTCCCACAAGGAAGGAAGGGGTTAGAAAAGGTCGACCCTAAAACCGTCACACCTCACCTTACCTCACGGATTTCCATCTCCGGCGCTAAGGCTCTTTGAAGAACGGAGCTAACACATTAAAAACCTTCCACGAAAGGGCCGTGCGCGACCGGCCTCAAGCAGTTGTCCCTTGGGCTCTGCGGTCACGCTCCCAGGTCGTTAAGACCAACACTAATCCGACTTCTTTTTCAGGTTCCTCAAGAAATACCCTTCCACAGTGTGGGCAGTCGGGAAGTGATATCAGCCCTCATACCCGTAACAGCACACGAGACCAAGTTGGTCACATTCAAATCCTTCCTACACCTCCTAATACCTCTCTTATCTCCATGACTAACCCTTCTCACGTCTCTTTATCACCTCGCACCGCTAGGGCAAACGATTCGAGTACGCGGAACGCTATTCCTGGTCTCCTGAAACCACGCTCTAAACTACACGTAGGAGCTTTTAACGTACGAACACTTTGCCAAATAGGACAGCAGGCTTCCTTAGCTAGGACTTTAGAATCTCGTGCCATCGATGTGTGCTGCGTCTCCGAAACGCGCATACAGGATCCGAGTAGCGTCATTCACTTGACATCACCATGCCGAAATAAAGAACCAACTCGATTTACGCTTCGTGTATCTGGAAGCCCAGATTCTGCTTCCCGTGGCCTCGCCGGCGTAGGTATAGCATTGAGTCTTAGGGCAGAACTAGCTCTCTTAGACTGGATCCCAGTAGACAGTCGTCTGTGCGCTGTCCGACTAAACGGAACAGTAAGGACTCGGAAAGATAGGGACACTCGTCGTTGCCTCTTCGTCGTCTCTGCCTATTCTCCCACTGACTGCAACGCAGATGATGTAAAAGATGAGTTTTACAGAAAGCTCTCCGACCTCCTCCTAAAAGCTAGGCGCTCTGATGTAGTAATAGTGGCTGGTGACTTTAATGCTCAAGTAGGTAAACTAAGCCAAAGGGAAAGACACCTAGGTGGATCTTATAGCGTCGTGGCTCAAAGAACAGATAATGGCGACCGTCTGTTGCAGCTATGCTCAGATAACCGCCTGTTCCTTGCAAATACTAACTTTAAGCATAAGCAAAAACATCTTTTAACATGGCGACCCCCTAATTCGTCCCAACGTTGGACCCAAATAGATCACATCGCTATCAGCCACCGATGGAGGGGCTCGATAGAAGACTGTCGCTCATTCTGGAGCACATGCTTAGATTCAGATCATGCTCTAGTGCGAGCGCGTATTTGCTTGCGTCTTACTGGACGTAGGAAAGACGCTGCAAGTAAACCTCTTAGGGGCCTACTTAATGATATTCAAGCTAAGAGTATATTTCAGGAACAACTAGGAAAACAGTTAGGCAGCCATGTATGTGATGCCCACCCTGAGGCAGCATGGAATGATATCCGAAAAGCTGTGGAAACAGCAGTGATATCTGCTAGTAAGATAAACCAGAAGGTTAAGGAGCAACACTGGATCTCAGCAGCATCTATCGCACTGATAGATGCTGGGAAACTCATTCCACCTGGCTCTGAACATAATGAAGAGCGGAGTCAGCTTAAGCACAAGCTGAAAAGAAGCCTACGCAATGATCGTGAACAGTGGTGGGTAGCGAAAGCAAGAGAGATGGAAAAGGCAGCGGCAATAGGTAATATCAGACAATTGTTCAGACTCGTTAAGGAAACCGGAATTAGGAACCCGACCGTTAGCGAAACAATCTCAGAGAAAGATGGACATATTATTCATTCTCAATCCAGGAGATTGGATCGATGGGCAGAACACTTTAGGGATCAATTCAACTGGCCTTCAGCCACACTTCGGTTTTCCACGATCTCCAGTCGACCTAATTGGCAAGTTGATGTAAGTCCCCCAACTATTATTTATTATTTATTTATTTGAACACATAAATATTGGTACAAGAGAGCGCCAATATATATGCGCCACACAAAACAATGAGAATTCGAAGAGAAGTAGAAAAAAAAAAACTAAGGAGCGCAAAAGAAAAAGAGAACAATGACGAAGAGATTGGAGTAAGGTAGTGTGGTAGTAACGACGGAACGAAAAGGTACAATCAGAAGAAATCTTTCAGGTAAAGGAGACACAACCACTTTTTATGAAGAAAGTAAAAGAAGGTTACAGCAGGATCGCCACTGGCTTCTATTCTGAGCCATATCTGATAACGTCTCTAGCCACTGTGTAGCACCATCTCTCGGACCCCAGCCAGGGAGTCGTGAAGGACTAACACGACCCAGTCCTTTGCAGCTTTCTTTCATACCACGACACCATGTCATGCACTGACCACCTCTCCGCTTCTTCCAACCAGTCCCAGAGTCGGCAAATAATGCACGACGTGGAATTCTCTGGGACGACATTCGGAGAACATGTCCAAGCCACCGAAGTCAGTGTTTCAAGATGGTGACACCAATTGAATTATCATCTCTGTGCCCGAACACACGATGCCGAACCTCTGCATTACTGACATGGTGTTGCCACTGAATGTCAGCAATCCTTCGGAGACAGCGATGATCGAACACAGAGAGTCGTCTAACGTCCTCAACTCGGAGAGGCCAGGTTTCACAAGCATAGAGCAAAACTGCTCTCACCGACGCGTTGTAGATCCGACCTTTTACAGCCAGACTGACATCACGAAGGCGCCAAAGATGGCCCAGATTGGCATAAGCCGCTCTGGCTTTCACTATTCGTGCATTGATCTCATCACTCACACCCCCACCAGCACTTATGCAGCTACCCAGATACACGAACTTCTCAACTACGTCTATCTGCTCACCATCCAGGGTGAGTACAGGATTAGAATCCTGCCAGTCTTGTAGAAGTTATTTGCACTTGGAAGGTGCAAAGCACATACCATACCTACGGACACTGATTGCCAACTGATTAAGTGCGGATTGCCCATCGTCCAAGACGTCGATGGATGTTAGTGATTGGCATCCCATCATCCTCGCAGATTGTTTCACTCACACCAGACTTCTTGCTGCCAGTGGCTCGGATGAGCTGGAAGAGCTTCCGGTAGTTACCAGATGTAGCTGCTGCTTCCAGCTCATAAGCACGCATCGACCACCAGGCTTCTCGGTCCTTACGCAAGCTTTGCCCAATTACCCTACGTAACATCCTTCGTTTATGGTCAAACTCACGGTCACCCGGAGTAGGCCGACGGGCTTCAATGAGTTGTAAGGAACCTGAAGAAACCCAGTGCTTATAAGCGGGACGTTTCGCGAACCCACAAGTGACTGTTCCCGCCATTTTCATGGCGTCATGCAATTGCAACCAATGCTCATCTATACTTTTCGGTGGAGTGGTAGCTAGCCTAAAGGCTAGCTCGGTTCGATACTTACTTGCAACAGAAGTTGCAACCAGCTTGCTAACATCAATCTTTTGGTGGTGGTCACTTCGTTGGCCACTGAAAAGTAAGGCAAGATTGGCGCAGACCAAGGCATGGTCAGAGTCCAGATAGGTACTCCAAAAGGAGCGGCAGTCTTGTACACAACCACGCCAGCGGTAGCTGATCGCGATGTGATCAATCTGAGTCCAGGCTTGAGATGAAGAGGGAGGACGCCAGGTGGCACATCGGCGATGACTGTGCCGGAAGTTAGTGCTAGCCAGAAACAGGTTGTGGTCTGTGCACAGTTGCAGTAGACGGTCCCCGTTATCTGACCTGCGACCAACGAGTCCCCATCGGCCACCTAAACGACTCTCTTCTGTGCCTAGACGCCCGACCTGAGCATTCAAGTCTCCGGCTAGTATTACAATATCTGTCGAACGCACTTTCTGGAGAAGAACTGATAACTGGTGGTAAAACTCATCCTTGATTGCATCCGGGCTGCAATCTGTCGGGGCATAGGCGGGGATGACGAAAAGACATCGTTTCTCACGCCGATTTCTTCTCACTTTGATGGAACTTTCTAATCTAACAGCACATAACCGACTGTTAATGGGGATCCAATCGATTAGTGCTGCCTCAGCTCTAGCGCTTAGTGCGACACCAACGCCAGCAAGACCAGACGAAGATGCCACAGGGTCCCCGGATAAGCGCACGTAAAACAAGCTTTTCGAAGCGACAGATGGAGATCGAATTTGTAGTACTTCGCCAGAGTCTTGAATACGGGTCTCGGATAGACAACACATGTCGATATTAAGACTTTCCAAAGACATAGCCAGCCCTATCTGTTGTCCGACCTGCATAAATGTGCGAACGTTGAAGGCAGCCAGTTTGAATGGTGCACGTGGTTTCAGAAAAACTGCTTCAGTCCTCGTATTCGGTGGTAACATACAATTTTCAACCGGACAGTGACTCGAGAACGTTTAGATACAGTCGGATTTCCACCAAAGACGAGCCGCTGTATAAGTATAAAAGAGGATGAATAATGTGGAAAATAATAATAATAATGATAATAATAACAATAATGACTAATAGTAGTAATAATAATATTAGTATTAATAATGACAATAATTGTAATGATAATAATCTGAATCAATTGTTTGTTTTTCAAAGCGAGAAAGGTAATTTCCATAGGCATAAAGAGTTCATCAATTTGTGTGTGGGCTGTGATACTGCCCGGGTGCCCAAACCGAAGCAGGTGGTTATCTTAGGGGGCCACTCCCCGAGCCTTTGACCTAAAGGTCTAACCCACAAGGCAGTGGAGCATCGTAAGGAGATACGAAGTTGAAAAAGCTATGGGAATTCTGTAGCGTGCGAGAGCAGCAGGCCCTGACAGGTTTACTCCTGAGATTTTTAAGGATTGAGGTCCAGTATTAGCAGTGAGATTAACTGAGGTCTTGGGTAGAATTTGGGAACTGGACGTAATCCAATCTGACTGGTCTCAATCACTGATTGTGCCAGTCTATAAGAAAGGACAGAAGTCCTCTTGTGACAATCACAGAGGAATCAGTTTGACTAATATAGTGTCTAGAATATTAGCCTCAATAATACTTCGACGCCTAATCAAAGCTCGTGAAGAGCATATTAGAGAAAACCAGGCCGGTTTTCGACCTGGACGTGGTTGTATAGACCAGATATTCACGCTACGTCAGGTCCTAGAACACAGACACACATTCAGACACCCCACAATCGTAGTATTTCTCGACCTTAAGGCAGCATTCGACTCTGTTGATCGTGAGGTTCTATGACAGTGTTTGTCACTGAAAGGAGTACCAAAGAAGCACACTAACCTTACAAAGGCTCTTTACTCGAACACAACTAGCCGAGCCAAAGCTTATGGCGAACTGTTGTCAGAATTGATTACCTCAAGTGGTGTTCGTCAGGGCTGTCCACTCTCTCCATTCTTGTTTAACTTTTTCGTTGACGTGCTTTTAGAGATGACACTTTCCTCATCTAAATTTCCAGGGGTTGAACTTTCACCGGAAGATTCACTTGTTGACTTGGAATATGCTGATGACATAGTTCTGTTTGGTGAAGACGCTGACAAAATGCAGTCTTCTGACCACTCTAAGCAACAATGCAAGCATGTTCGGGATGCGATTCTCCCCCTCGAAATGCAAAATGTTGCTTCAGGATTGGGTAGCATCGACACCCGAACTAGTGATAGGGTGAAGTAGTTGAGCGTGTCGACCGCTTCATTTATCTTGGAAGTCTCATCAGCCCTTGTGGTCTGGTGTGTGACCAAATCTCAGCACGGATACAGAAGGCTCGACTAGCTTTTACCAACTTGCGTCATTTATGGCGTAGGCGAAATATCCGTCTATCAACCAAAGGACGGGTTTACTGCGCAGTAGTTCGTCCCGTCCTACTTTATGGCAGTGAAACATGGCCGGTAAGAGTAGAGGATATCCGTAGGTTACTAGTATTTGATCATAGGTGTCTTCGAAATATTGCTCGTATATCCTGGGACCATCGAGTAAGTAATGCAGTTGTTAGGAAACGGGTACTAGGTAAGGATGGCAAATCCATTGATGACGTAGTGAAAGTTCATCAGTTGAGATGGCTGGGACACGTATTACGTATGTCCAACGACCGACTGCCCCGACGTGCGATGTTTTCTGGTACAGGAGTAGGTTGGAAGAAAGCAAGGGGCGGCCAGACCAAAACATGGCACAAGTCCATGAAGTCACTGACAAGTGGTCTGAGCCATGTCGCTAGGTGTAGACTACCTGGTTTGGAACCACGAGATGATAGCAACCGATGGTTAGAGATCCTGAATGACATGGCTCAAAATCGTTTGCAATGGCGCAGGTGCATCCACTCTTTGTGTTCTCCCAAATTCTAAACTTCTGAATTCTTCATTTCCCTTTTTTCCTCTTTCCATATTTGTTTCACTGGATTATACTCTTTAAATAACATCTCCAAACCCTAATCTTCCCGATTACTGCTTATACTCTTGCTACCTCTACCACTACGGGATTTCAATCGACAACTGCATCTCTGTGCTAAGGTGGTGTGGCAACTCGAACTGATGTACGTACGTACGAAGTTCTACGTTGTTACTGACTGACTGACTGACTCTAGTGTGGTAACACTAAAAGCCGCAAGTTTAAAGCCATAGTCCGTACTACCGACTGCCCACGAGTGTGACTGCAGTAAAATGTCTTCCCCAGACAACGTAGATATTCAGCAGTGTCACCTCACAACAGGTAGGAAGTAAAAGACGTCTGGACCAAAAATGTCAAATCTCACGCGCCCTACGAACTTCCATCTCGGGTTTGAAAAGCTAATGCTAGAAACTAAAAACGAAAAAGTCGTGTGTGGCTAGGCTTAAGCAATCGTTAAAACCACTACTAATTCAGTTCCCTCTTCTGGTATTTTAAGGAGTAATATCACTCAAGATCACCTCAACATTTCCATTTTAACCCTCATCTTCGGATTCATCCATACTTACTACTAATGCCGACAATTCAAGTTCGCGAAATTCTATCTCAGTATGATAATTAAAAGTAATCGAATTGATGTTTTCCCAGAATAGTCTTACTTAGGGTAAATAAAACTCATCGAATGTAACTGAACCTATTGTATTTGAAATTCGAATTAACTGCGAAATCAAGTACAAGGGAATCATCAAGTAGTACAAATACCACACCTAAGTTTCCCAAAACCCCATTCCGAACTGCATGATGGAGCTACCAGCACATGAACTCTGTTAATTCCAGCAACAGATGTCACTATCTAAGATTTCGTACCATCGATATAAGCTGTTTTCCAAACCCCCATGCAGGATCACAACATGGTCAACTACTTGGCCAAAGGAATATACCCTTCTTGTATCTGGAGACGCGACTAAAATTCCTCGTGGTCTAGTAGATGCAGGTATAACACTAGGTTCTACATTAGAACGAGTACCCCTTCATTTGATTTTTGTCGACAACCGCTTATATGCTGTACGACCGAGTGGAAAATTTGGAACTCTGAAGGTTAGGGACACACTGTTGGTTTTTTGTCGTTGCTGTCTGTACGCAACTAAGTGAAGCTCGGACGAAATGACCGATAAGTTGTACAAAGATTAGGTTTAGAAATCGGTTAGTCATGGAAAGTAATTCTCTGTTTATTTACTCAACTTTTTAATGGGTTAAATCATTGTTTTTCTGTGCTCGTGTATTAGCTATGCACATAAGATATATGTACCACGTATTAGGTCGTTTCTAGTGACAGTAAAAGCTCTTATAACGAACAGCACTTTTTCTCTGTTGTGTGGGTCGGTGCGACCTCTATGAAAGTGGTTGTCACGTGGCAATAACAGATATTAGACCCCTCCTAATGATTTCAAGTGTCACCCTGACTTGAACGAAATATAATCCCATTACCGCAGCGTTTCAAATGTTTTGAATAAATATTTGTATATTGTTACAAAGCTTTGTGGGAAAATATCGTAAATACATTACCGCTTAAATTATTTTCTTTACAAGTAATCGAATCACTTACGTATCAATTTTACAGAACAAAATGAATTTTATTGCGGTCCCTAAACCATTTGCGACAGTTTGCTCTTGGATTGTTTAGAGGACAGTTTGGTCGACATAAGTAGTATATGACACTAACCACAAGTGAAATGCCTGGTAGCAGAAGGTTAAAAAGATCGAATTGAAGAGAACGGGAATGCAAATAGAGAGTAATTGTAATAATAACAGGAATGGGAGGACGATTAAGTTTGTAAGAGACAGTTGATGGGAGATGTGCAAATGAAGTATTTATTGTAAGGTTTTCATATTTTACGAAGACATTCTGTAATTTGTATTAAACAATAGATTGGCTTTCTCCGTTTGAGTTCTCGTTCACTGTACAATGTCTTGAAAATCGAGCTTTTGTTTTACTGCAACATGATGTAATGCTCTTCAAGCAAATTTATAATGTAGGATAAATGATAACAAAGTGATTTGTTACATTTGCATTGGAAAAAATAGGTTTAATGAAATACCGTAAGTGCTGTGCAAACAAGTGTTGAAACTATAAATTGAAATATTCTGCTTCTCGATATCGTGGAGTTCCAATCGCCATGTGTCTTTGTTGCCTTGGATATGCCACCAAATGTTTGTTGTGGTTAATAAGTTATTTTATCTCATGACTCTTCCTGATTGTGTTCATTTTGTTTCAGTTTGGTTGGACTCATGAAGGTGGTTGGCTATCAATCCTGGCATCAACTTTTGTCAGGTAGGTTGTGTATATTTAATCACTGACTTTCGCCCTTACAGTCTTAATATGCAATTATATTCACTAACTACAAGGAAATCGACTGTGGTTTATCTAGAGCGACAATTGTTTAAATATCGCATGTGGTCATTACAGTTTTTTGTCGATTTGCAAGTTAACCTTGGTAATTTTGTAGGAACCGTCAAAGAGTACACGCTCGTTTACAATATCGTGTCTGCGATTTCTTAGTAAAGTTTAGGTTGACTCCTCATCAGTTGATTTGTCATATTGAGTAGTGAATTAGTGGCAAATCCTACGACCAAAAATCATTCTGGATTCAAAAAAGCTAAGGTTACTCGAAGTCAGTTACACTAGAGCAGATGTATTCATTATTTATCTTACAAATCTAAAACCTGGTACTTCATTGACTTTTCTGTTCTAACTCGTTAACATCGAGTTTCTTCCAACTATATTGTTTTTTGCACACTCATATGCAATCTCCTTTACTTGGAGATGTTTATTTGTGACCGATTTAAAAGGTTGTTATGTAATCGACCATTTGAATCGAGTTGTTCTGTATGCTAAGATGCGTTTCTCCCTTTTCAACAGTACTTAGCTTAGTTGTTTAATATTTAAATACAAAATGAGTAGTAAAGTTTTCGACTGATGGCCTGTATAATACCAAAGATAATATCTTCAATTATATGAAGCAATATGTTTGTGAATAAAGGACTAAATTTAAAACGATTAGATTCCAGGTTCGTCCCACGTCCTATCTACTTTGAATTGATCAGATGGGTAGTCTGTCTATTTCCCAGCAATCCAGACTTCAACTGAGTGTTGGATCTCGTATTTGGTTAGTATCGTGAATTATTACTATCATATTTATATCATTAATGTGAAAACTCTTGATGTTTATTCTGTGGTTATAAAATAAATAAACTAAAGTTAAACATCCAATTTACGCCACTTAAACATAAAAAATTCACCCGAGTTAATACGTAGCTCTAAATTTTAGGTACATAAATCTAACTCAGTAAACAAGTAGATATCCGTCTATCGCACTATAAATCAAAAATAATTTGCAGGACTTAATGCCTGGAATTAATTTGAACGTCCCAATCCAGTGGTCAAAGCTTAAATGCTAACATCGCTATAAAATCACATCAAACAGGGATACGAAAAGTCAAATCCAAGGACAATTAATCAGCAAATCGTAGTTGGAAATCATGTTTTTTTCTTCAGAAATCCCTTATCACTTAAAATGGAGGTTGTGTGGACTAGTTTTGATAAAGAACTGATTATGAGGAAGTAAATTAAATCAGTCAGCAACACTTAAATCATACCGATAATTAATTCTTAACTAGATTTGTTATTAATTTCAGGAAGATAGATATTGTTGGGAGAGGTTATTCTGGTTATAACACTCGTTTGTGCAAACCATTACTTCCAATCCTCTATCCAAATAAGGACTCACTAAAGGATTGTAAATTTTTCACTATTTTTCTCGGAGCTAATGATGCTTGTGCCACTCCACAACAGCATGTACCAGTTGAAGAATACAAAAGTAATCTAAGTTGGATGATTGAATATATTCATGTATGTTTTATGAGGTTTAATAAAGAATTATGAAAGTAGTTTCTATCAGATTTTTTTATGATTTGTGTGAAACCTATGAAGTAGGCTTCTATAAACGGGCTTTTTGGGTTATTAATTGGGTGCAAAGAATGTTAATCAACAGACTGTATGCTTGATCGAGTGATGGCTGCTCACGAGATCAAATAATTGATGTAAGTCTCTAAATGACTTAAGGTCGAAAACAAGCCAGAACAATAGATTTTCTATATAATAAAATGTTTATATGCGAAATCTTAGCACAAAAATAGCATGATAAAATGTCATAAGCGTTTGGAAGAAGTGAATGTGCACGTCACCCACCTTCAATTAGCATATCAGATAAGTGGACTACCAGTAACATTTTCGCTTACACGAAGTAAATATATATAACGAAAAGTTTCTTAACACAGAATTGAGACCTTTTTTTGAATTCAACTCACCTTTCAGCTTAACATAAAAACAAGAAGTGTTGCAACTTTGAGAGAGGAGTAAATGTTCTCAATTTCAAACGTCTCTAAAATAGTATATCACTGAATGTTGTTTCGCCAAGTGTAATTATTATTTGTCACTAACTTTTGTCCTCTGATCTGTTACTCAATTGATTTTCTTTCCAATAATAGAAATTGGACGTGCCTACGGATCACATTTCACTAATCAGTTTACCTCCTATTGATGAGAATAAATGGGGTGCTATTGAAATAGCTAAAGGTGACTCAGAAATTTAGTTTTTTATATTATATTATATTACATTATATATATAATGATTGAAAGCATTGGCTAAACTAAAAATACTTCGTAAAACGGTTATGAAAGCAAAGATAACGAATTGTATACACGAAAGTGTCATAAAGAATACTTATCTTAAACTTCTGTGTCTGTACCCATTAATTTGGTATCTCTTTCAACCGCATTTTAATAAAATTAACGTTGAAAGTCATTTGTATAAGGAATTTACACTTGGTTTTTTAGGAAGGGCAATTACACGAAGACTAGATGCTTGTGCGACCTATGCAGTTGCATGTCAAGAGGTTGCCAACGTCAATGAAGTTAGTTTTGTGAATTTATATGAAGCTATGTTAATGCAAAAGGTAAGTTCCTCTTCTAATAAGTTCGATATTTTTGAATAATGGAAGCATGAATCTTTGCGTACACAATTTATAAAAAACTTTTCGGCAAATAAGATATACCGACCATTGTCCCAAATGTTTCTGTTTAGTAGTTGTATATCAGTGAATTGAAAGGTTACTCTGTGAGAATATCCTGAATATTGGGCGACTGTGTCTGGACTGCTTATGTTTACTAGTCGAAGGTTACTGGTTGATTTTTGACGGCTCATTCTACTACTATCCGGTCTTGTTTACGATAAAAGCAGACAGCTAATAAGTGATGGTACGTTACAAAGGCTAAAGTATTCAACAAAACATACTACATAACTAAAGTATTTTAAAACCCGCTCGAGGAATTTCTCTTCACGACTTAGTTCAATAAAAAGGGAATTAAAGCAGACTGGATCAAGTATATAAGTGAAATGTCTTTTCAAGACTAAATTCAAGATTCAATAAAGGAAGTACTCATTATTCAAGAAATCATTTGCCTTAGTGCTATTTTTAATCATTAAAATGGTTTTTAATCTTCTATTTGTCTACTTTCAGTGATACATGTCCAGCCAAAATAGAAAACAACTTGTAAAGTCGTTTAAAAATGTAGGTAGTAATGAGGTTCCAAGTCGTCAGGTGTTATAAGCCACTAATCCTAGCTTTTGGTGTTTTGATCAGTGGCTTTTGCATGCTTATCTGAAAGCAAAACCCTTTTTATTTGTCTAGATGTCAGCAAGTGTTTGACTTCGGTTATTCACATAATATATTCATCCAAAGATACCATTTTAATAATGTTATTTAGTTGTAAATCAAACTCCTCAAAAATTAAATGAGTCTTTTCCTTTTCAGAATTGGGAGTCTTTTCTTTCAGACGGTTTACACTTTTCTAGAAAAGGATCTGAGTTTTTGGCAAGGATCTTAGAAAACTTACTTACGGATAAATTAGGTGACTTAAAGTGGTGGTTTCCGGATTGGAAAGTTATAAACCCGAACGATCCAGCGGAGTTTATCAGTCACTATCTTCAGTCCCAAATGTGATGTTTTCTAAATGACGAAAGACTTCTACGTGGCTTCGCTAACTATACTTATTTAGATACATTGCGATTGTTTCAATTGTCTTCATTTGTTAGTTCTTATGTAAAGAGTTTAAACTTATTTGGAACATAGATAAATGTAAACTTGAATGTTCTATTACAACTAAGAATATGGTTACTGTCCCTATTACTCTACGATTTTCCATGTCGCTGTGTGGCATGTTAAATCAATGTACACTGTTATGTTTGAAGATATTACGAGTTCGCCTAATCTAAAAACGGAACGAAGACTATGTGATACAATGACAGATAGGCTAGCTATTCCGACGCGTCCCAACCCCGCGAACTAGAGAGAGAAGTCCAAGTTCGGAAGAGGCAAATATATTCCACAAACAGCCAGAAGCACGAACAACCACGACAAGACTAGTCGGAAATACACTCATTTATATATTGATTCATAGACCCGTTCTTGATTAATAATTAGAATAAAATCATATATATGAAAAATACTTAGTTGTAACAAATCATATGCTGAGTATTGTTCATGTTAACTTAATACAAGTATATCGTATGTTAAACAGAATAAAATGCAATATGGGAAAACGAAACAAATACTATACTGAGTAGTCATCACATTGAATTAAAACGGAATTAATGTTAAACGAAAATCATAATGAGTAAATCAATCTAATTTTGACTTTTCATCCCAAGTTCTACGTTGTATAAGACTAACGAGCATGCCTTACATATCCCGAACCACTGCCTTTGTTGACATACAATGTTGGCTGTAGTAAAAATACGTTAAAACAAGGGTAGGTGTAGCCAAACTATGATATAGTATCAGTTCATGAAACAAAGAACTGCCAGCCTAAGCCATGTTGTTAAGTGCAGATTACTATAACAACGATCAATGATTGAAAATATTTGGTGATATGTCCCAAATACATCCACTCTTTTATCCTTCCTTAGATCTTCAGTCCCTACAGTTCTTTATTATTTATTTGAACACAAATATTGGTACAAAGGAGCACCGATTACATATGCGCCGCACATTCACTTGATTTGTGTGTGGGCTGTGACACTGCCCGAGTGCCCAAACCTGAGTAGGTGGTTTCCTTAGGGGGCCTTCGACCTAAAAGTCTAATCCACAAGACAGTTTAGCAACGTCGGAAAATGCAGTTCCATGGTAACCGGTGGTCGGCAATTGGTTCATACACCATTTGTTCCCTCAGGGTCCTGGACCCCGTGTGGGCCACTGGTTCGGAATCAGGGCTTTCCAACTCCAATAGGTGGACCCTCCGCGTCCACCAACCCGGTTAAAGCGCCGGACATTTGCTTTTCATCCTCTCGATTTTGTAAACAACACCCCCACGCGATAAGGTAGTGAGTAGGACTTTCCTGACCGTGGCTATATATGCGTAGCCATATGAGAGTATTTCGAGAGGGAGAGCCTACTCTCCCCACCCTAGGCCGCACCAGGGCATTTGGGGGCAGTCCTTCACAAATACACTTTATTAAACCATTTTTCTCGATGACTACTCTTTCTCACATTTATTGATACTAGTACTTCATTGGCATTCATCTTTTTAATTTAATATGGCTGTGGAGATGTTTTATGAGAACTTACTTTTGCGACTTTAGCCCGCCTAATTATCACATGACTTATTCGCCAACCGGAATAGATTTATACAATCTTAGCACTATGCTAAACCAATAACGTACCGACCGGTATGAACAGCCTAACGTCCTTATTGCTCCTTTTCCCTCCTAGCCTGCCAGTTGGGAACAGAACACCAATACCAGCTCACATCATACGAATCATTTATTTCAAACATGTCTGGTTTATATACAAGTCAAACAGACCACATCACATCACAAAATAGAAAATAAAATTTTTACAAAATCAAGCCAAAAAGTGGCTATGATTGTGGGTGACGGTAAGTAATAAACTAAGTATAATTTAAGAACAGTAAATCGTATCGTCTATAGGTCAAAATAAAGCTTATAATAACAGGAATATAGATATACATAATTTAGTTACTGAATATATATATATATATATATATATATATAATATTGGTCCATTGATAGTTCTCAGAAGTTACCTATAATTTAATCTTCACTAGGATCTAACACTTACGCATACCCACATTTGTGCTAGGGTTTATGCTGAATATGACCGATTGTTAATCCAATTTTCATCAAAATTATGTCCGTAAAGAAGATTCCTACTACTTGCCAGCCATGTAAATTTTGATTTATTATAAACTATGCCTAGTGTTTATGAATCCAGTCATATGCAAAGTAGAACCTAACACATATTTGCATCAATTCGAGTTATAACAACACAGCGAAATGCTGGAAAAGTCGAAGTAGTAAGAGTATCAGCGTTAGCAGTAAAGACAAGGCTTAAATGACATGACCTGAGAATATATGGGTTTTTGGAACATAAAAGGACACGATAATTCCGAGATCAATGATCTAAGGAAAGACAGTGATATTACCCGGGCCATTGTGATCTATTTCGAACCGCGTTACCCAATGTCATTAATCACTGATCCCAGTTATCGTATGGACCCTAACCATGTAATCCGCATCTACCAACATGGCTCGGATCAACAGACAATAACTTCATGGACTAATTATTAGGTCTTAGTTTGGCCATCCTTACCTTTCTTCCAGCGTACTCTTACACCAGATATTACCGGTCGAGACAAGCAGTGGCCAGACATATATAACACATGCCACAACCACCTCAGTCGATGAAGATTCACTATTTCATCAACCAGTTTGTCATCTTGAACTAGTGTTCTACATCTAACTTTAACATTACTCACTCAGTTGACCCGAAGCACAGGAGCAATGCTTTGGAGGCACATGTGACTGAATACTAGTAAATTAAAAATATCCTCTATTCTTAATGACCATAGTAAAGGACTACAATCCTTTTGTGAAATCAGTTGCCGGAGTTGATCTGATCGACCAGAAGTAGGTAGAATCAAACATAGCAAAGAACTCAGGTCAGCCACTCAACAATGTAGACTGTACGTACGTACATCAGTTCGAGTCGCCATATCATATTGGCACAGAGATACAATCGTCAGTTCAAATCCCATAGTGATAGAGGTAGTAAGAGTATTGATAAGTCTTATCGATTGAACGCTATATTAGTTTCCTAAGCTATTCTGGTAACCCGCAAGCTAGAACTACACAGCGACTTGAACACCAGAGAGAAGACGCAAGTATGAGGGAAAATACTTTAATCCAAGGTTCATTCTATTACAGAAAATATAGGGCTTTTATAATACTTTAAGTGTCCTTGGGTCGCTGGAATGCTACAAAACATAGTAGCCAACCAATCAGAGCGTCGCATGTGACGTTTCGCTACCTTGATATTTCTGGCCAAAACTCCAAGCAAACGCTGATTGGACGGAACATTTCTAAGTGTTTCTTCATGCTTGCTCATCTTTCGCAAGCGATTTCTGGATCACCCCAACAAGTATAAGCAGTAGTCGAAAACACTAAGGTTCGAAGATGTTATTCAAGGAGTATAAACCAGTGAAATAAATTTGGGAAGAGAAAGAAAAAGAGACAAGGAGAAATCAGGAGGTTAGAATTTGGGAGAACACAAAGAGTGTATGCACCTGCGCCATTGCAAACGATTTTGAGCCATGTCATTCAGGATCTCTAACCATCGGTTGCTATCATCTCGCGGTCCCAAACCAGGTAGTCTACACCTAGCGACATGGCTCAGACCACTTGTCAGTGACTTCATGGACTTGTGCCATGTTTTGGTCTGGCCGCCCCTTGCTTTCTTCCAACCTACTCCTGTACCAGAAAACATCGCACGTCGGGGCAGTCGGTCGTTGGACATACGTAATACGTGTCCCAGCCATCTCAACTGATGAACTTTCACTACGTCATCAATGGATTTGCCATCCTTACCTAGTACCCGTTTCCTAACAACTGCGTTACTTACTCGATGGTCACAGGATATATATGAGCGACAGTCTTCTATCGAGCCCCTCCATCGGTGGCTGATAGCGATGTGATCTATTTGGGTCCAACGTTGGGACGAATTAGGGGGTCGCCATGTTAAAAGATGTTTTTGCTTATGCTTAAAGTTAGTATTTGCAAGGAACAGGCGGTTATCTGAGCATAGCTGCAACAGACGGTCGCCATTATCTGTTCTTTGAGCCACGACGCTATAAGATCCACCTAGGTGTCTTTCCCTTTGGCTTAGTTTCCCTACTTGAGCATTAAAGTCACCAGCCACTATTACTACATCAGAGCGCCTAGCTTTTAGGAGGAGGTCGGAGAGCTTTCTGTAAAACTCATCTTTTACATCATCTGCGTTGCAGTCAGTGGGAGAATAGGCAGAGACGACGAAGAGGCAACGACGAGTGTCCCTATCTTTCCGAGTCCTTACTGTTCCGTTTAGTCGGACAGCGCACAGACGACTGTCTACTGGGATCCAGTCTAAGAGAGCTAGTTCTGCCCTAAGACTCAATGCTATACCTACGCCAGCGAGTCCACGAAAAGCAGCATCTGGGCTTCCGGATGCACGAAGTGTGAATCGAGTTGGTTCTTTGTTTTGACATGGTGATGTCAAATGAATGACGCTACTCGGATCCTGTATGCGCGTTTCGGAGACGCAGCACACATTGATGGTGCGAGATTCTAAAGTCTTAGCTAAGGAAGCTTGTTGTCCTATTTGGCACAGTGTTCGGACGTTATAAGCTCCAACATGAAGTTTAGAGTGTGGAATAACGTCCCGCGTACTCGAATCGTTTGCCCTAGCGGTGCGAGGTGATAAAGAGACGTGAGAAGGGTTAGTCATGGAGATAAGAGAGGTATTAGGAGATGTAGGAAGGATCTGAATGTGACCAACTTGGTCTCGTGTGCTGTTACGGGTATGAGGGCTGATATCACTTCCCGACTGCCCACACTGTGGAAGGGTATTTCTTGAGGAACCTGAAAAAGAAGTCGGATTAGTGTTGGTCTTAACGACCTGGGAGCGTGACCGCAGAGCCCAAGGGACAACTGCTTGAGGCCGGTCGCGCACGGCCTTTTCGTGGAAGGTTTTTGACGTGTTAGCTCCGTTCTTCAAAGAGCCTTAGCGCCGGAGATGGAAATCCGTGAGGTAAGGTGAGGTGTGACGGTTTTAGGGTCGACCTTTTCTAACCCCTTCCTTCCTTGTGGGAAGGCAGCATCGCTGCAGATGCTGGTTGTTTGAGGGAAACACCTTACTGCTGTCACACCTCTCTACAGTCAGCAGTACGGCTTCGCCCTCAGACCTTGAGTTGCTGCTTTTAGTCTTACCGCTCTCCAATCGACCTGCCTGACATGGTAGAACCTACAGGAACGGTTGTTCCAGCCAATATAGCTCGGTTGGGTCATCACGATAGGCAAGCCCGACCATCGTAAGATCCACCTAAGTGTTTTTTGGTTTGGTTTATTTTACCTACTTGAGCATCAAAATCACATGCCACTATTGCTACATCAGAGCGTTTAGTTTTTTGAATGATGTTGAATAGCTTCTTATAAAATTCATCTTTAACTTCATCTGAGCTGCAAGCAGTGGGAGCATAGGGAGAACGACGAAAAGGTAACAGCGTGTGTGTCTATCTTTTCGAGTGCTTAGGGCCCCGTTTATTTGCACGGAGCACAGGATACTGTCTATTGGAATCCAGTCTAATAGAGCATGTTCTGCTTTTGAACTTAACGCTATACCTACACTAGCAAAGCCACAGGAAGTAGCAATAGGATCTCCAGATGCTCGAAGGGTAGGTAGTTCGGGTTTTTTATATTGACAAGATGAGGCCAAATGAATGACTGTGGTTAGATCCTGTAAGCGCGTTTCAGAGACGAAACATACATCGATGGCGCAGTGTTCAAGAATCCTAGCTAAGGAAGCCTATTATATTATCTGACACAAGGTTCGAACACTAAATGTTCCAACATGTAATAATAAATGTGTTTTGGTTATGTCCCAATGAGCATAAAAATTGTACTTCTGATGTTTCGTGACTCGGTGTAGGCCGCTTCTTCAGAGTAAACAAATGACCCAAATTAAATTAACACAAGCTCAAATAGTGCAAAAGAAACATACTATTTAAACTTCTGTTCATTTAATTTTGCTTGCTATATCTAGATGCTTATATTCTTGATATACCGCGTATAACATGAACACTAGAACGCTAGAACCATCCCAAGTCGCAATGAGAAGACAGAAGACTAGTGAAAGGGAAGTTATTCCAGACAGTGTCAAGTTAGAGTACAAACTGTCAAGTATTTATAGTTTTTAGTAAAAACGAAATCATTATTATAGCTATCCAATCCACACACAAGAGGTTATTAGCATTGTCCAATCGAGAAGCTACATGTAGAGATTCTAGAATATTACTCCAAAGATGATTGGATGGAACATCTTCAGCTCTTTCTGAGCTTCTTACGGCTTCCTCGAGTTCACCCGTGGACCGCCTTCACACCCCTCCCTTTAAGTCTGTTGTGTAAGACTTTTTTTCCGGATCCACCTGAAACTTGGTTGCCGCATTTCTCTTGCAGTCCACCACTCTAAAAGGTTGCACAGCTTTGCCCTTACGTCGTTTATCTCTTTTATATTCGCGCTCCTGATGGCTTTTCCGAGATGAATCCACGAGCAATTGAAATGGGAGTCATCTTTGTGGGACAAATATGTTCTGCCGTCTCTTTGGATTTGATTTGTGTCTTATACATTTTCCGACATTTTCCCGGACTCGGTACAGCACATTTCCGATCCAACGTTCTATGATACCTGGTTCCCACTTCCTATTATCTTGATACGATTTGACAAGTACCCTTTCACCCACCTGGAAGCTATGAGTGACCGTACGATACTTATTCGTGGGTTTATTTGTCGTTCTGCGCGGCAATATACTGCTAAAGACTGTCCAGATTTTCCTTCCGAACATACACTCGGCTGGTGACTTTGCTTCTGGTACTGCCGGACTAGGGGTAACTCTGTAAGACACTAGGAACTTACTGATCACTTGTTCTGGGATACCCTTACCTCCCGCTTTGACCAGAGCTCTTTTTATCGTATCCTCGAATCTTTCTGCTTGGCCATTCGACTGAGGATGGTACGGAGGAGATTGTAGATGCGATATGCCATTTTTCCTGGCAAAAGCGTCTAAAAGCGGATGACATGAACTGAATGCCGTTGTCAGTCACCAAGATCTCCGGAACCCCAAAACAGGCAAACAACCCTGAGAATCTTCAAATTGTACTCTCTGGTGTCGTTTTCAGCATGTCATATACTACTGACCATTTTGTGAAAGCATTGACAACAACCAAGTAATTTCTGCCTTGTATTGGTCCGGCGAAATCAGCGTGGCCAAGGCCCGTCCGGTTTCGGCCACTCGTGGACTGTCCTCACAGCCTGTTTATTTACTCTGAAGAAGTGGCTTACACTAAGTCACGGAACGTTAGAAATACAATTTTTATGCTCATTGGGATATAACAAAAATACATTTATTATTAACTCTACGCAATGCTCAATTTATTTGAAACTATCAAGTTCAACCTTGGTATTGATGCCGATAAGCTCCAACATGTACTTTAGAGTGTAGTGGAAAAGATGTACAAGGAAGGTTAACCATGAGGATGGAATACTTAATAAGAGGTGAGGGATTCGAGATGATCTCGGGCGCTGATAGAGATATGACGGCGGTTGTTACTTCCCGGCTGCCCACACCGTGTAAGGATATTTCTTCTTAAGGGACCTGAACAAAAGCTGAATTAGTGGTGGTCTGAGCGACCTGAGAGCGTGATTGTAGAGCTCAAGGGACAACTGCTTAAAGCCGGTCATACACGGCCTCTTTGTGTGAGGGTTTTGATGAGTTAGCTCTGAACTTACCGCCAAGGACGGAAATCCGTGGTGTAAGGTGAGGTGTGACATTTTCAGGGTCAACCTTTTCTGATCTCTTCCTTCCGTTGTGAGAAGGCAGCATCGCTGCAGATGCCGAGAAACACCTTACGGATGTCGCACCTCTCCACAGTTGGCAGTACGACTTTGCCCTCGGACCTTCAGTTGCTGTCTTAACGTTCTTCAAGCTGACATGGTAGGGCCTAAAGGAACGTTTGTTCCAGCCGAGGTAGCTCGGTTGAGTCATCACGATAGGCGATCCCAACCACCACGTCAAGGTAGCAGCTACGGTCGGAATTTTTTAGTTCAAAAAGGGATATATTTAAACACTTACTAAGGTTCCAGACAAGGAATACCGTACAATAATTTGTACCAACCTTCTCAGAGAAGAATGAAAAAAATGAAGGTATACAAGTATTAGTTAGAAAATTAATTGACGAAAACAATTTCAAACAGTACTTCTGGTACTGGTTGATGAAAGCCAATGACTAATAGCATACAATGTCCCCAGTGTTACAGGACTAGGTCCATTACCAACTTCGGATTCGGGTCTGGTATTGTGTGAAACAGTTGGATTGCGACTTGATGTTAGTCCACAGATAAGTTGATTCACGGGTACCGATTGCCAATCAAGAGAGTTTACACCCCAATACCTAAAAATGTAGAAAATCCAGAAAACTTTTTATTCAAAAATGGACGTTTTATTGCCTTGATAAAATATTTCACAATTTATGTGAAAGAAAAATAGAGAGCAGTGGTAAAAGACAGTTGCTTACCAGCAGTGGTCAATTTCCAATTACTGTGACAATACACCTGTTGTTTGATGACTGAAACCCATGGTCATCGTTATTGGAGTACACTCTTTAAGCTCACACAAATGTGAAACAGAAAATTATAAAGTATGGTATAATGTTTGAGTTCGGTTAACTTCTTAATCAAGAAGAATGAAAAAACTTCAGCAATTTTTAGCAAGGTTCGTTTCTGAGAGATGAGGATGCTAAATCCATCCAAAACCCCGCTCCTTTATCCGGGACTGAGACTGGCAGTAACCCTAGAATGGCACCAAGAGGGTGGCATTTCTGTAATTATAGAAACATCTGGAACTTAAAACAACAGTCAGCCAACACAAAAATCAGAACCTTCAATACGAACGTCAAGACAGTTCTATTGTACAGAGTTGAAACTTGGAGAACTACAATCATCAGAAAGGTACAGGTGTTTATAAACAGCCGTCTACGAAAGATACTCCATATCCGTTAGTCAGACACCATCAGCAACAACATAATATGGCAAAAAATAAATTCCAGCTAAAGAGGAAATAGGATACACATTGCGCAAATCATCAAACTGCGCCACAAAGCCTGCTCTAACTTGGAATCCTAAAGGCAAAAGGAATTGCGAAAGACCAAAGAACACATTGTGTCGAGAGCCGAAGACAGACACTAAAAGAACGGACATCACTTGGGAACAATTAAGAAAGAGAGCCCAGGGCGGAACAGGTTGGAGATGTCTGGTCGGGGGCCTATATTCCACAAGGGGTAACAAGCGTAAGTAAATAGTGATAAAAACTATACTAAAGTGTTCAGCGATTTTCCCCTAAATGATGAAAGACAATTTTTCAGAAAATACTTTTATACAATCAACAAAAACATCTTAATGAAAACAAACAAAAATCATTCAATTTACCAAACTTCTGTTTGATCATTATCAATCTGGAAAGTGGATGGCATCGTTGATAACTCGGGATAAAGATATTCCGAATTACTGATTGTGGACTGATTTTGAAAATGTTTTTCAAATGCCTTCCAATCATCACTTAATTTATTGAGAACAGGTCTCGGGAGCCAAACGGCTGCACATACTTCATTTACTTCAAGGTTAAATTGTGGTAAGTATGAGTGAATATCATCTGAATCTAAAACAGATCTATAAAAAACCAAAAGACAGTATTTAGAAAAAGAATGGAGTTTATGACTACTTAATATGCTTAATACCAAACTGAATATAAGGCCAAGGTATTATGGAGTAAATAAACTGAAAATTTTAAGGAGTGGAATTTTACTCGTAATTTTTGACCTAGAAGGAATACAGTACGAAACTATTGAGCGAAATCTGTACTTCCTCCAGTTCCCGGAGAAACTACCTTACGAAAGAATCATAATTGAAAAGAAATGACTACGACTGGATTTTATGTTAATTTTCCCGACCGTAGCTGCTACCTTGACGCGGTGGTCGCGCTTGCCTATCGTGATGACCCAACCGAGCTATATTGGCTGGAACAACCGTTCCTGTAGGTTCTACCATGTCAGGCAGGTCGATTGGAGAGCGGTAAGACTAAAAGCAGCAACTCAAGGTCTGAGGGCGAAGCCGTACTGCTGACTGTAGAGAGGTGTGACAGCAGTAAGGTGTTTCCCTCAAACAACCAGCATCTGCAGCGATGCTGCCTTCCCACAAGGAAGGAAGGGGTTAGAAAAGGTCGACCCTAAAACCGTCACACCTCACCTTACCTCACGGATTTCCATCTCCGGCGCTAAGGCTCTTTGAAGAACGGAGCTAACACGTCAAAAACCTTCCACGAAAAGGCCGTGCGCGACCGGCCTCAAGCAGTTGTCCCTTGGGCTCTGCGGTCACGCTCCCAGGTCGTTAAGACCAACACTAATCCGACTTCTTTTTCAGGTTCCTCAAGAAATACCCTTCCACAGTGTGGGCAGTCGGGAAGTGATATCAGCCCTCATACCCGTAACAGCACACGAGACCAAGTTGGTCACATTCAGATCCTTCCTACATCTCCTAATACCTCTCTTATCTCCATGACTAACCCTTCTCACGTCTCTTTATCACCTCGCACCGCTAGGGCAAACGATTCGAGTACGCGGGACGTTATTCCACACTCTAAACTTCATGTTGGAGCTTATAACGTCCGAACACTGTGCCAAATAGGACAACAAGCTTCCTTAGCTAAGACTTTAGAATCTCGCACCATCAATGTGTGCTGCGTCTCCGAAACGCGCATACAGGATCCGAGTAGCGTCATTCATTTGACATCACCATGTCAAAACAAAGAACCAACTCGATTCACACTTCGTGCATCCGGAAGCCCAGATGCTGCTTTTCGTGGACTCGCTGGCGTAGGTATAGCATTGAGTCTTAGGGCAGAACTAGCTCTCTTAGACTGGATCCCAGTAGACAGTCGTCTGTGCGCTGTCCGACTAAACGGAACAGTAAGGACTCGGAAAGATAGGGACACTCGTCGTTGCCTCTTCGTCGTCTCTGCCTATTCTCCCACTGACTGCAACGCAGATGATGTAAAAGATGAGTTTTACAGAAAGCTCTCCGACCTCCTCCTAAAAGCTAGGCGCTCTGATGTAGTAATAGTGGCTGGTGACTTTAATGCTCAAGTAGGTAAACTAAGCCAAAGGGAAAGACACCTAGGTGGATCTTATAGCGTCGTGGCTCAAAGAACAGATAATGGCGACCGTCTGTTGCAGCTATGCTCAGATAACCGCCTGTTCCTTGCAAATACTAACTTTAAGCATAAGCAAAAACATCTTTTAACATGGCGACCCCCTAATTCGTCCCAACGTTGGACCCAAATAGATCACATCGCTATCAGCCACCGATGGAGGGGCTCGATAGAAGACTGTCGCTCATATATATCCTGTGACCATCGAGTAAGTAACGCAGTTGTTAGGAAACGGGTACTAGGTAAGGATGGCAAATCCATTGATGACGTAGTGAAAGTTCATCAGTTGAGATGGCTGGGACACGTATTACGTATGTCCAACGACCGACTGCCCCGACGTGCGATGTTTTCTGGTACAGGAGTAGGTTGGAAGAAAGCAAGGGGCGGCCAGACCAAAACATGGCACAAGTCCATGAAGTCACTGACAAGTGGTCTGAGCCATGTCGCTAGGTGTAGACTACCTGGTTTGGGACCGCGAGATGATAGCAACCGATGGTTAGAGATCCTGAATGACATGGCTCAAAATCGTTTGCAATGGCGCAGGTGCATACACTCTTTGTGTTCTCCCAAATTCTAACCTCCTGATTTCTCCTTGTCTCTTTTTCTTTCTCTTCCCAAATTTATTTCACTGGTTTATACTCCTTGAATAACATCTTCGAACCTTAGTGTTTTCGACTACTGCTTATACTCTTACTACCTCTACCACTACGGGATTTCAATCGACAACTGCATCTCTGTGCTAATGTAGTGTGGCGACTCGAACTGATGTACGTACGTACGAAGTTGTACGTTGTTACTGACTGACTGACTTATGTTAATTTTACATTGATCGTGGCTTTTAGTAAAAAACAATCAAGAATACTCCTAATGTAATTGTTCAATAACTCACTAGATAAAAAAAAACTAGCAAAACAGGCCCGCTAATAATTAAAATTAACGTTAAACATTGAAAATAGGAAGCCATGAAATTTTAGGTCCTATAGGATAACAAATTGACTAACTACCTAAATTGTTGTTGATAAGCGATAAAAAATTCTAAAATTTGATTATCTTCAGTCAGCAAAATTTGTTTGGTCTTAAAATGAAGCCGCAATTAAAATATCAATAAATCAACATTCAAGGATAACAGGAAATATCAAGGCAAATTATTTGGGTGAGGGTGCTGCGCGTCCCAAGCATATTGATTGCCGTGGATGACAGGTTTTTACTTATAAAAAGTCAAGTTCCCCAATTTACACGATTTACCACATTGGATAAATATTTCAATCATCTTAGGTTTGCAAGCAGCAGTTGTTCATCTGATTGTCAACAATTATATGGAGTGAAACGTCAATTTAAAAGATCTTCACAGCACTCCATCATAATGATCAACACTGTATGTAGTCTACTACTCGCGCATTCGATTTATAACAGACCTTTGTGACCAATAACAAAAATGATCCCTTAGATCATTAATACGAGTTATTTTTCGAAGGTTAGTGCTCAGAATTTGGAATTTCGACTAGTATATATCAGAAATTTGACGTCATTTGTTGCTGACAGAGATCGAAAATCTCTAGACCTATGTCAATTATCCAGAATTTTCATGGTATTCCAACACTGTGTAAAAAGGGAAGTATGCACTTTAAAGTTACCTAAAATTTAAAATCACAGTAGGAAAAAACATACGCACGTATCTGAATAGTAAACAAAAAAAGCTGAAAATTATAATTCTTACGTTGAAGAACGAAACCAATTAACAGAGTAATATATGACCATATGATGAGATTTAGGAAAGATAGTAGACTTTCCGATTCCTGTATCTAAACGAGAAGGATAGGAAGCTTCCCATGCACAGAGTGGTTTAATAGTACATTCATTCATTACATTTTCTTTCCCATACGAATGTAATCCTAACTCTTCTGTGAGTTCACGAAATGCGGTGTCCTGTGATTAGTAACACAAATAAAGGATTACGCCATAATTATATCACTATACGATCATCAGCAGCACAGATAACTGGTATTTTTATTCTATCTAAAAATATTTTAGAATACTGTAGATGAGTGATCATTTATACCGACAGGTTATTCGTGGGAATATTATGTCGTAAAATAGTTCATATTATTTCTTACATTACTCTACTTTCCATAGGTCAACACCAATAAACTCTAGGAAACTAAATATTTGTTGATCAATGAAAGAACTGTATCATCTATTCTGAAGTCATGTATATATTTTAACATTTTTCACTTAAGTGTTTGCACATTTGGTACAAACCAAATGTTAGATAGTCTTGAACAGAGCACTGAAAAGCCTCGTTATTGAAGAATATTTGAGGATCTACTAAATAAACTCCCAGTAGTGATTAGAAATGTTTCACATATGCCCATTCAGAAATCCTGTATAATCAGTGTACACACGTTTTGGGATAAAGTGGAAGTTCAAATATTCTGACATAATTTTTGGCATACTTTGATGAGTTTTTAAAGTGAGAAATTCGGTTGAAGTGAGAGGTAACCGCTAAGATGAACTGTAAATTTTTTTATATCTGCCCAAGTTACCACAGACTGCAATGGGGACGCGAAAGAATGGGTAGGTTCCTTCGATAGATATTATAACGCTACTTAGGAATCTAAATATGTAGGTCAGATATGTAGATACAGAAATCAACTAAATAGACATTCGCAAGTTCAAAAGTGGATGCTTCTAAAAGCAGGGTTGAAGTAAATTATAAATTATTTTCTAATAGCGGTAACACTCCACACAGAGGATGAGAAACAGATAACCAAGAATTCTTCGGGTTACTGAATCTAAATAAAGAATGATATAATCTCCCGTACGATGTGGACGTACAAATAATATTGGATACAGTCGTGCAGATCCCAACCTCTAATTGGATACTTTTTCCATAATAAACTACTTTTTGTGACTAGTAGAATAAATAAATTGAGATATCTAGAAACCTTGTTTTTTTAGGTACTGCACTGAAACATTAGTACACAGAATTTTATCGAGGCAAAAATATGGTCGTTTCCTAATAAGGACAAAAATCGATTAAAGAAACACACCTGAATAGGTTCTTTAGCTTCACAATGACCTCCAGGTGGAACCCAGACACCTGGGTAAGATCGCATATGCCACGGTCTGCGAGTGAGAAACAGACCATCTAGTCCAGACAAATGCAGAAGGCAGCAGCACGCCACAGGAATCCATTTGGGACAAGATTTCCCATATGAGTCTAGGAAGCGTCGGTTAGACATAGCAAAAGGACAAACACGTGGACGCTACAAAAAAATAAAACTCTCTAATCCCATAAAAGGATGTAATTCCCAGAGGATGTAACTTAAATAAATTTGTGATGTTTTGTACACAGATAAAAACTCGATTAATAAATGGACAAAGATATTATGTACTTAGTACAAAATTATACGATTCGCTCACAGAACTATTTTGACATAAATCTCGCGGTTTTGTAAGAAAGTTATTAATTGATTTTATTCAGTATGAATATTTTAGACGTATGAATACTCAGAATTCATAGCTAACGAAACTCTCAGATCAACAGAATATTTGCAAAAGCTGATAAAGAAGCCATATAATGCTTGAGACATTCAAAACATAAAATCCCGATAACCATTTCAGCACCATAAAGTGACTGGTAACTTCAGTAATAAACTATAATCTACACAAAATCTAGCTACTACATGGCTTTTCGTGTGCATAAAACAGTTTATATGTTGGAGACACCTGAACGTCTTGATTCATCCTTTTCGTTGTAACCAGTCGTGACTGCAACTATTCATCGTGATAGCTCCTGGATATTTGTGCTACTTCACATATGTTTACAAAATCCAGCTAAAGATTGTTATCGGCACACTTGCTTAAACTTATTTCTGGGAAGCGATGCAGGAATAAATCTGAGCGGTTTGAAAAAATATCTTCTTGATAATAAATCTCATATACCATATTAAAAGAAAATGTCAATAACGTAAAGTAAACTAACACACAAAGGTATGTCTATCCATTCGAATCCCAAACAATCAGTACCAACAACTAGATTACACGAGTCCTGTCTAATTTTTATGGGTGTTTCATCTTCAAAACCAAGGGCATCCACCACCGACTAGGAATATTAAGGAAATCGATATGTCTCAAATACCTCTTGAAATTCTAACCGTCTTTGTAGCTTTGAGGAATAAACGTAAACCATACTACCAAGTTGTCTTTCTTGTGCTGAGACGATTTGGATAAAAAGGATCTTCAAAATACCTCGTTTAATTAAATTCGTAAGTGCTTCGTGAGTAAACACATATGTTTCTACACATATCAAGACAGTTCGAGATATGGTGAAAAAAAGCAGCACAACGCAAAAACTAGAAGTAAAATCATATAAAACATTATAACTTACTAAGACAAATTAGAGGGTTGTCAAGTCCTTGGAATCCGCGTCCTGGTAGCACGAGACCGCTTCTAGTTACGCAAAGACACCTCTGTTATGTTCCTTTTGAAAACAAATGGCAGAAGCAAATAAGTCAATAAGTAGTCAATGAGTAACAACTAGAGTAATCCTCCTTAATACATAGGTACTAAAGCAAATGTCTCTCGATGAAGGACTCAGTAGAAGGTACTATTACCATTACCTTTAGGAGTTCTACAACTTACCAATCCTGACCACGAAGTGTGAATGGATTTCGTGCGAACTAACGCACGTTATCCTGAGTGAATGTTCTTTGAAATGTAATCTAATAACTATTACCTATTAAAATGAAAATTACGAACAATATGATGCACAAAGATAATGTCTCCATGAATTCTCCTACGCAACACATGTCACAAATCTAAAGCTCCCAGGTAAGTTGGGTTCGAGTTATTTTCTAGTTCAAGTACCCCTCCATTACTCTTATTTGAAAACCTTCCAGGAAAGCGACATCTTCAAGGTAGGCGAGACATGATGCAGAAGTACGTTCATGTGAAGTTAAGTCACCACCGAAAACTATAATAATCAAGGAGTCAAGCCGCCTAATATCCTGGAAAAAAACCGATTGAGTATGCCTTATTGGTTGGAGAATGTTAATGGGAATGGACCTTAGAGCTGAAAATAATTCTACATGATGATCTACTTCGGGTAGTACAGTGTGACACTGGATGTATCAACAGCCTTCACCACTAGTACTCTGCATTTATTGGTACTAACGTCTTTGTTGGTCCAGTCGAATGGCCTATAAATTCAAGATGTCAGAAAGTCCTGGTATCTCTCCTCGAATCATTTGTTAACAGCCGAGTTTGAGTCAGAGGTATTAGGTAGGTAAAAATAGCCTACTTCAACGGGAGAAGTCGACATTCCCCATATAAATTGGAAATTAGATAGCTGATGCCAGTCCATGTGACAACCCTGAATCTAGTGCCTACCCTTGACATTCAGATTTAAAACCTGATCCTAATTCTTCACACCAATCTATAATTCTCCTTTAACTCTAGTAAGCAGGCGAACATCCTTAGGGTCGCTAAATTTAGCGACGCTCAAAGGTCGCTCATAAATTTAACTTATTATAGTCTCAATTGGCAACACCAATGGTCTGAAATATAGGAAAACGGTAGAATCCTGAACTATTAGGAGTTTTGACACAAGTAATGAATTTTTTAGGGCTAAATATTTATAATTTAGGCTGGGAATCATAGTACTTCAAACCAGTAAGCACCGACACAGGCCTAAATCGCTTAAAACCTAACATCAAAATTCTAAAACTCGGACTCTCAACTCTTAAACTACCGACAATAACAGTCTATCCCACAGCCATACCATTCAATTATCCCAAACTATGAAATACAAAGGAAATTACGACACCGCGTATCAAGTGCGCGCTAATATTTCAGTCTTCAATAATAAGGATAGGAGGTCTATCGACCTATGTTAATCCTTGCAGTTTTTAACTCTGTGGAGGTCCAATCTCGTTTTGAATGTATCAACAGAAGGTACTGACATTACATGTTCCGGTGGAGAACATAGAACAACATCGTTTTAGAAAGGGTCTATCTTGTACAACGAACCTAATTATAGCAAGACAATATTAGATCACCCCGTATTCTACGGTAAGATAACGAAATAAGTCAAGGTGTATCGGTCTGTCTTCACAAGATAGGCCAGAGAAACCGTTTACAAGTTTATTCCCTCGTCGTCGGACTCGTTTCAGTATATCCACCTCATACTTGAAACAAGGACTCGCTACTTCAAATGGTTCAAATGGTTGTGGACGGAATAGAAGAAAATTTCGCTCAACAGGCTTCCGTGTCTAGTAGCAGGAACCACCAACTCCTCTAGGCAAGTTATAAATGTAGTCTGCGACATGTCGCAGATGGACTACTTTACACTTTGAAGTGTGTAGTGTCAGTCATTATTTTAAGCCCATATACCTTATTCTAGTTTTTGGACAAGCCATTCTATTCATTCTACTAGAGTCATATTTTGACATTGTCAATTATTAGCTTATTAGTCTTGACTGTTTTTATATGAGCGTAAATATGTGTGCCCTTCTTATCCCATTAATCATATGTCTGTAGCTTTATTTTGTTTGACCATAAATATTGAGTAACGCTTGACTAAAATGGAGTTGGCTTCCTAGCCATCTTCCATGCGTGTCATTTTGCTCTGCTCCGTTTCATTCGCTTCATATACAAAATATATGTATTCTCAAGTCAATTCTCGTTATTCGACTTATTTAATTCTGTTATTGGATAACGTGATTTAAGTCGACGATTATATACGAGAATAGGTGATAACAAACATTTATACGATCATGGAGTTTGACCGATGGGCCACTAAAATGGTGAGCCCTTCAACGAACATCGTCCGATTTAAATGAGGACAAAATCAAATTACGGGCCACCAAAAGTGTTAAAGGTAAGTCCGTTATCGTCTGCCCAACTTTAAAGTCGAGTCAGATCCTCCTGAAGTGCCTGTATATCGTCTTGGTTGCGTACCCCTCTCCAAAGTTTTACGTCGTCGGCAAAAAGTAATAAGTCTGTGTAAGATCCATTTTGAATGTTTTGTGTGTTTGTGAAAATCCCTCCATGTATATACTTGCACTTTGTTCCTATTGATCCCCTTAGTTGTACATTGTTGTCTTCTGATCACATTTGAATTGTTAATATTTGTATTTTATTACAGGTTTATTTTTGTTACGCCTTCACTAAGTTTTCGTGTTTCTTCCCGAACTGCATCAGTGTTGTTTTACTTGACACTTGTTCTTGGCAGTAGCCATATTGATTTGCTCCTCCTTTTGTGTGTGTTCTATCCAGTCAGGATAGAATAACGTTCATTTGTTGTGACTGGTAATTTTCCCTCATCTTTTATCAACTTCTTTATTTATTGTAATTTAGATTTGATTGATTGAACAATTATTGGTTGAATAGCCGGGTGGTAATATTTGTTTAGGTAACGATTTACATATAAATTTATGATGAATTATAGAACCGCTATTTACCCGATTACTTGTTCTGATTTTGACTGGCAAAGGCGCGTGTCTAACGTACCTGGAAGGCTATTCAGAAGTCCAAACCGTAGTTTGGATTTTACAGTCTGACAATACCTGTTGAGGAAAATCATTTATCTAAACCAAGAAGAGAATACGTCCTAGTACTGAGCCCTGGCGGACCCCACTAGGACATTCCATAGCCTGAGATAAAGTGGAATTAACCCTGACCTTAAAATGTCGATTTTTCAGGTATGAAGTGAGCCAATCGATTAGAGGTGGTCTAATACCCAATCGTATGAGCTTATTGACAAGACATGTATGGTTAACCTTATCAAAAGCTTTTGAGAAACCTAGGTAGATGATATCAACCTTCCCTTTGTGATCAAGGATACTTGTCCATCTGTCCACCGCAGTCAGCAGGTTGGTGATACAAGAGTAACCCTTCCTGAAACCATGCTGTTGGGGTGAGAAGAGATTTAAGGACAGTAAATAGTCATTTACACCATCGCATATCAGGGACTCCATGATTTTTGAGGGTATGGAGAGAAGAGCCACCGGTCGGTAACTTGAGGGTTCGCTGCGTCGACCTCCTTTGGAAATCGGTGTGATGTGAGCCAACTTCCAATTTTCCGGTAGTTTTCCTCGACTCAGCGAGTGTGAGAACATCACGCTAAGCGGCGCTGCTAAGATTGAGGCTGCTTCCCTCAGTATGGCGGAATGGACCATGTCCGGGCCAGGAGAAGTGTCTAATCTTAACTGCTGCAGTTTCCGGAACACCAAGTCAGCGCTTAGGTTCACTTTGGAAAGTCCTGTGGAATTGCAAACGAAACTGTTATCAGTAAAGTTAATGTCGGTCGGTTGAAATGTCTGGGAGTAATGTCCAGCCAGAAGCTTAGCGGCGTCACCATCGTTGTTGGTCGGGCCGTTAAGACTTACCAGTTGGGAAACTCCAATTTTGGCTTGACGAAGAGAGGCTGAAAAACGAAATATGCTTTTAGGATTAGAGGCAAATCTGTCCATAAGTTTTGTCTGGTACTGAAGCCTATCTTCTCTTATAGCCTTCGTGCATATGTTCCTGATATGCTTGTACGCTTGTACGCCTGTACGCTCCGTCGTTGTCAGTTCCTCTGTATTCCGCCCAACAGTGCCTTTTGCGGCTTAGCAGGCGAAGAGTACGGTTCTTGATTATTTTAGGTGGCTTGCAGCTTTTGGGAACCGTTTGAGGAACTGAATGGTTTGTAGCACATAAGAGCGTGTGCAGTAAGAAGTCCCAATGACCGTCCACATCGAGTTGGGGGTGAACATCCCAAATCACCTGTTGTAGATATTCGTGTAGAGCTGGCACATTCAACCGTTTAAAATTCCAACGCAAGTTATTGGTAGGGTATCTTAGCTTAGTTTTGCTGACAAAATTGAAGGCTAGGACGGCATGATCGCTTTTTCCCAGGGGAGCCAAGATTGAGAGGTTGTCAACTAGAAATGCTTCGTTTGTGAATACACAGTCTAAGCGCGATGGTGTCTGACTGTTTCTCCAAGGAGTTGCCGACCTCACATTTTCGATTAATCCCAAGTCATCGATGAGGTTGAAGAACCGAGCTTCAGTTGAGTTGTCGCCTCCAGTATACATGTGTTCCGCGAAGTTGACTCTAGGGAGATTAAAGTCCCCTAGAATCAGGATGTGTGTGAAACCGAGATGAGTAGAGCGGGATAGCCCTTCCAGCATACAACTATCGTACTCGGTGTCGGCAGTTGGCTTCCTGTAAATGACTCCGACTAGACACCTCGAAGTACTTGACAATCTTACAGAGCACCATATAGATTCCTCAAGATTGTTAAACTCGAGGTTATGAACTTGATGCACCTCCAAGCAAGAACGTATGTAAACAGCTACTCCGCCCCCATATCCTGATATTCTGTCATTGCGGAACAAAGACATCCCAGGTAATGCTAACTCATGGTCCGAGAACTGAGAAGATACCCAGGTTTCAGATATTCCTATCAGATGGGCCTTACTAGCATTGCTAAGATCACGTAGTTCATCCAGTTTGTTTGGTAGACTCGCGGCGTTCATATATAAGCAGTTTATGCTTTCAATTTGGAACGCGTGAGCTTCGTCCTGTTTGTCTGTATGAGCCTTACGTGAATAGACAGGTAGCCCACCTATATGAAGTTTCCCGAGGTGGTAGGCCCTGTCCTTTACACGTTTTTTTATCGTCTCATATTCCAAATGCGGTCTTACAAAAGTAACGTATAAAAACCTAAATATTTCATCATCTAAATACTGGAAAGTCCTATGAAAAGACCATAATATCCTATAGCCTTTCGCAGCAGCAGTCTTACAGTGACTAGTGGTTTTGAGATCACTACTTAATATGACTCCTAAATCTTTATAGCTTCTTACTTTGGGTAGAACGAATCCACATATTGTATAGTGATACAATTCGTCATAGTTATTTAATTGCATTACCACACTCTTATTAGGATTTACTTGTAGTGACCACCTGTCCAACCATGCCACCAATGAGCTAAGATCATTCTGTAATACCATCCTATCCGACATACTGTGTATGGGTCTCCAACTTTTTATGTCATCAGCGAATAATAGAGCGGATGATTTTGGTACAGTTGGTAATTCATTTACATAAAGTAAAAAGAGAAGAGGCCAGAGGATTGTGTCATGGAGAACTCGATTTTTTGCAGGTCCTCATGATGAGAGAGCTCCATTTACCATTACCCTCTGTCACATGTCATGGAGAATGTTACTTATCCAATCCACGACTGTATAATGGGTTGCAAAACGTTCCAGTTTGAATTTAAGACCAGAGTGGGAGACCTTATCGAACGCCTTACTTAGATTTATGAAGATCACATCCACAGGAATATTCCGACCTTCTGCCGCAGCCTAATGAGAGGAATTGTCGAACTTGATAGGCCTCTCCTGAAACCATGTTGTTCCATGGAGAAAAGATTATGCCCTTCCACACTGTTTATAACAGCTATCTGAGTAATCTGTTCCATCAGTTTTACAACTGCCCTAGCTAGAGTAACGGGTCGATAGTTACTAAGTCTCTACTACCCACCTTATATGTCGGATTTATTATGGCTTTTTTCGAGTCTCTGGGCAGTCTGGACTGCCTCAGAAACCTATCAAACATTATGGCTATTGGTTCAGCAACTAAATCAGATTGAGCCTTCATAATCCTAGGATGAATATCATTAGGACGACTGGAATTAGTCTTAGGATAATACCTTTCGCAACGACTTTGGGTTCGTCAACAAGCCGCCACAATCACAGTCAATCGTTCTCCTAACTAATTGTTTTTCACAGGACTGTCTAGTTATACGTATTAACGCTGAACAAGCATTCCTAGTCTTTCAATAACTGGATCTGTACTGTTCTAGGCCAGTAGAGATTAACATATTCCAATGCTTTT